TTAATCTAGAGTATGGTCTGAACTGTTGCCAGTTCAAGAACTAATTGTTGTCAGTCCAAAAACTGTTACCGGTCCTCAAATTTTTTGTTATGGGTTAATGAGATAAATTCAGAAAAGAAAAGTGAGGACTTAGAAACTTTCACAGCAAGTTGACACTCAAAACATCCTAGTGCATGGTCAGTGGACCTATGACCCTGAACCAGGCCAGTGGTCCTAACCCTCCCATGGTGACTCATGAGCTGCACACTAGGACCACCTACCAGTCGCTGCCCAGGAAGGATTTTTTTTTTAAGAGAGTGGTGTGGGGGGCAGGAGCAGAGGGAGAGGGAAAGAGAATGTAAAGCAGGCTCCATGCCCAGCACGGAGCGTGACATGGGGTTTGATCTCACGACCCTGAGATCATGACCTGAGCTGAAATCAAGAGTCATACGCTTAACTGACTGAGCCACCCAAGCGCTCTCAGAGGATACTTTAAAAACAAAACAAGCTTGGTCTTCAATACCAGATAGTTAGAGAAGCAATCCTCTCCTCACTTCTTTACCCAACCATTAACTTTTTAAGGAAACTGGGTCAGTTGTCCTTTAGATTTCTGGATTTCTCTATTTGTTTCCTGTGGTGTCAATTAACTTGGTTCTCTATCACTTGACTTCCTTAGTTGATTCTATTCAGGCTCAACATTTTGGGCAAGAATATTTCATGGATTGTACTCTGCGATTCATATTATAAAACTTCACCAAGTATATAGTACCTGAATGTACTATTTTTAGTAATGCCATGATTAATCACTAGGGTTCAGGTGATGATAGTTCAATCCCTCCTTTGTAAATTCCCCATCAACCTTTCACCTAATAATTTCATCCACTGATTACTGTCACCTAATTCATTTCATTAGGGATTGAAAAGTAATGATTTTCTAATTCTACCATCCTTTCTACATTTATCAGATGGAATTCTGGGGGAAAACAGTTCCCTTATCAAATTAGCCTATTTAGCTACCATGAAATACAGATAATACAGGAAAGGTAAGATAAATGCTTATTTCTTTCCTTTTGATTAACAATTTTCAAACCAAAAATATTCAGTGAGTTAGGTTTGGAGACTCTTCTATTCCACTCTCTCCTGTTTGTTCATTCTCTCTCTCTCTCTCTTTCTAACATTATGAACTGATGGGTTTTTAAGATACTTGTATTTCAGAGGTGGCTGAAATGGATGGCTCAGTCAGTTAAGCGGCTGCCTTCAGCTCGGGTCCTGATCTCAGCGTCCTGAGATCAAGCCCCATGTCAGGTGCCCTGCTCAGCAGAAAGTCTGCTTCTCCCTCTCCCTCTGCCCCTCCCTGCCACTCCCCCCTCATGTGCACAGGCACTCTCACTTGCTTTCTCTCAAGTAAGTAATTAAAATCTAAAAAAAAAGTTTTCATTGCATGCATTCATTGTTGTTTGCCATCTTTTGCTCTTCGTCTTATCCTGGAGGACTCAGTATAATACACTAAAGACCAGCACAGTATATTTGGTGGTAAATCGATTTTCACAGAGTTTTCTGAAAACTTAACTACAATTTCATTTATAGCATTATTTCTAAAATAAAAGATACTGAAAATTTCAAACAACCAGCTAAAAGTCATAACCATAATATGGCTTTCCATGTGCCAGAAATTGTGCTAAACTCTTTGAATGTAAATCCTATTTAATCTACACAACTACCATGATGTATGGTGGGTATTATTTTTATTCCTATTTTATAAGTAAAAAAAAAAAAATGAAGTTTAGAGACCTTAAGTTACTTGTCCAAAATCCAGCTTGTAAATGGTAGAGTAAGGATTTATAGCCATGTCTAACTCTGAAGTCCATGCTCTTAACGAATATCTTTAATATCTAACAGACCATTATGTTAAACAATGGCTCTCAACAAGAGTATACCACCTTCTTGAGGGGTATTTATAAACAAACCTGAAGGTATGAGTGACAAATGTGTACTCTTTAAAGGAGGCTCTATATATAGGGATAAACAAGATTCTTTTTAAAAATAGCTTCCAGGAAAAAAATATAATAAATAACTTTCAAGGGCAGAGGGAGGCATTACAAAGGTATAAAAGCAACCTTTGGGGGTAATGGATATGATCACCCTCTCTGACTATAGTGAGGGTTCATGGGTCTCACCTACGCACAGCTTTTTGTTTCCCAATAACACCTCAAGACAACTATTTTTAATAAAATAAAAATAAATTTCTGGAGCCTATAAAGTAAAACAACAGTATAAGTATTCTCTCCAAACAGTCCAACAAAAAGACTGAGATAAAGACTGAAGGTTTGAAGGAAATAACCAAGTGACTGATTCGTAATTTCCTTCATAAAAGTGGTCCAGCACTGCAGAAATTAAGTGGCAAAAATACAAACCTACCAAAATTCACAAGAGAGGTATCTGCTTTGCCAAGAGCCCCCTTTACTAACTCAGATCAACAGCATGCACTGAAGCAGGGCTGGGTAAGAAACCAGTTATACCACACACATACCCAATCCCAGAAATCATCAACTGGCCACTCATATCCCACATTTTATTCATCACTAGCATGTTGGGTTTGGTCCTATTTCTGAAAAATGTTTTTTAAGTAGTTGCCAATATTTGAAAATTTAGAGATTTCTCCCCCCCCCCAATCTTCTGGGGGGAAATATCTTTACTTTTCTTGAAAGGTCTGGTAACTCTTGGGTCCACATTCCCAACCTGGCAAGAGGACAAGCACTCTGCTCAGCACAGGCCTTAGGACTCAGTGTCCATATTGTCTTGTACCTGGCAGCTTGATCCATTTATGTTACCATGCCTGGACTCCAAGGCTTTTGAGTTTGTAGTCCTTGCCCTAAGGTTACAAAGATTTTCTCTAAACAGCGTTTTGTTTGTTTTGGTACTATCTATGGACTCACCTCCACATTAAAAAAAAAACAAAAAACAAAAACAAAAAAACCTGCCTTTAATTAGAGGTGCAATTCCAACTCCAAAGGGTAGGTAACTTTCCTAACTGAGCATGCAGTAGCAACAAACAAGAAGCCAAACATAGCCATACCCATCCCTGAAGCAGAGGCCAGACAAGAATAAAAACAAATCCTGGAAACTAGTTCTTGGCACACTAGCTTCAACAAATTCAGTGAAGAAATTTCTAACAGATATTTCTATTATTATGAATCTCCCTCCTGGAGACCTTCCCCAGCAACCCCCAACATGCATGCACATGCATGCACACACATACACACACACACACACACACACACAGTCCCATCTCCCTCCCTAACCTTTTCCTCCCCCATTCTACTAGGTCACTGAAACAGTAACTAGAGTATCTATTATTCTACTTCCAGCTTAAAACAAAAGAAAATTTCTTTTTAAAAAAAAATTTGTGGAAAGGAAAGGAAAAGTTTCTCAGGAATAACCATACAAATTATTACAGGTCAAAGGGATCAGAAACCTACATTCATTCAACGAATAAACAGCCAACATTTTTAAAAAATCATTATATATCAGAAACATTGATATTAAAGTCGGGATGGGGACGCCTGGGTAGCTCAGCCAGTTAAGCAGCTGCCTTCAGCTCAGGTCATGATCCTAAGGTCCTGGGATCAAGTCCCACACAGGACTCCTTGCTCAGCAGGGAGCCTGCTTCTCCCTCTGCCTGCTGCTCCCCCTGCTTGTGCTCTCTCTCGCTCTCTCTCTCTCTCTCTCTGATTATAAATAAATAAATAAATAAATAAAGTCGGGATGAAGGCAATAAAAGATGAATAAAGAGGAATAAAAACTTAAACACAATAGCAAACAAAATTATAAAATACTCAGGAAAAACATTAATAAAAGGTACTAATAATAAAGTCATGTTATCCTGGAGCAGGAGATGCCTTAGGAGCTTATGAACTGTCCAATCACTAACTTAAAGAGTGGGGCTGGAGGCTCCCATGATTCCTCCCCACTCCCACCCCATGAAAGCTTAGCTGGCACATGACCCAAAGGGAAATCATGGCTTCTCTCTCCGGTGACATCATGGATCAGATCAAAACCCGCATTTCCCTGCCCTACTTCTGAATCATAGGAATCAGCTCAAAAGTATTCACATTTCTCAGAGTTCATATAGCAAATAGAGCCAATAAGCAGAAAATAGGGAATCACCATTTTTTTTAGGCATCAGATTAAGATATCAAGTAGAGAAAATTTATCCTCTCAGAAAATTATCTCAAGGAACTCTTAAAGAGCTTTTGGCAGAGAATCCTTACTAAGTGTATGTGTGGAAATAGATGAGTCCGTAGACCTTTTACATTATTATTACTGAATAGAACCAAAAGAAAGAATGCTTTGGAATGTGTTTATATTATTAAGAAATTTCCAATTAATTCATTCTTCAATATTTCAGACTTTGTGATTGTTTGACTATGGTTTGGTTTCAGGATTATCTTTCCACTCTCTGGACAAAAGTACTTTCCTAAGAAAATTAATAGCATAAATAAATGGTTTGAAGCACCCAGAAGCATCTGTTTACATTCAGATAATTAATATGCTAAGCATTCTTATCTATTAAATTAAAGCAGATCACCTAAGGACTTTTCTAGATAATACTTCATTAGCCAAATTATAATGAGTATATATAGTTGCAACAATAAAATGGACATCTTTTTTAAAACATTCTTCAATTTAAGCCTTTTACTAAATCAAACGAGCTTTCATACATTAGTTTCAATTACTGAGGTTTTTTTCTAAAAGATTTTTATTTATTTATTTAACAGAGATAGAGAGAGAGCACAAGTAGGCAGAGCGGCAGGCCGAGGGAGAGGGAGAAGCAGCCTCTCTGCCAAGCAGGGAGCCCGATGCAGGGCTCGATCCCAGGACCCTGGGATCATAACCTGAGCTGAAGGTAGCCGCTTAACTGACTGAGCCACCCAGGCACCCCTCAATTACTGAGGTTTTATACAGCCAAAAAAAAACAAAAAAACTTCATTAAAATAGAAGATAAAAGTTTCTGTTCTTACCTTCGAAGTTCTCCATTCCCAGCCATCACCTATCTGCCGTGAATGTTTAATGAATTCTACACAAAAACGCTGGAATGCTTTTTCTCCAAAGAACTCATCTTCTTCCATACTAATTGATAACTGCAATATAAAAACAGTATAAGCATTAGCTGTAGAATGAATGCTAAAAGGAATTCTGCTAAATCCCTTACTTCTTTAAACAAACCAAAATTTGGGACATAGAATGGAAAATATCCTCAGAGCCATTCCAAAAAAGTGCTATGTTTCCATCTTTCTCACTCATCCCCATTTCTTAATCAGAAAGAAAATGTGATCAACATGAAAACTTAAAACCTATATTTATAACAAATACACATCTATGGTTCAAAAAGTTAAATCTGTCCATAAATTTAGTTTCAAGAGCTTAATTTCATCTCACTTCTTCTAAGCTAATGCTTCCAATCTCCTCAGAGCTTCCTTCTCTACATTCTACCTTACTTTGCTCTTACGTAGATAGTGTGGCAGTGCTTAGTAGATCTGCACTGTTCTTCACACTTTATTAGGGAGTTCAACTCACTAACAAATGATGTTCTAAAGCCTGAAAGTTCTGTTTTGTAAGGTTATGATCATCTAAGCAATTACCTACTTTATCGAATCTACAAATGTAACAAATCAAGGAATAGCCACATATTTCTTATATAAATCTGTCCAAATCATGAACCATTGTTTATAAAAAGAGAATTTTAGAGCTAAAAGCAAACTGGTAAATTATATAGTTCAAGACCCTTAGTGAGAAAAGTTAGACCAAATGAATTCCTACATTCTCCTCATTGGTGATAAGCATCATCAGGAAAATTAGCACTTGTTGATTGTTTACTATGTCGAGCACTAAGCTAAACACCTTACCTCCCCATTTAATCCTCACACAACCCAAAGACTGCTGTTATCCCCATTCCCCAAATGAATAAAAGAAAGTAATCTGCTCAAGCAATGCAAATGAGAAAGGATTCAAACCCCAGTTTGGCTACCAGGCCAATGATCTGTCTATACTAGCTGATTCTCAATACAGTGTTCTTTCTGATTATTCAAATTTAGTATGACCTATAGAAGAATTTGTTCATTCATCCAAGAAACACATACTGAATATCTACAGTAGGTACTGTGCATAGGGGAAGGTTAGACATACAAAATGAAAAAAATATATACATATAGTCCTTGCCTTGTAAGAGCTCACATTGTAATGAAGGGAGATAAGCAATAAAAATCATTACAGTAGAAACTCTCTTATCCAACCTCCATTCAACCAACTTGCCAGGTTAACCAACATAATATCCCTTCCCTCAGTAAACACTGATGTCTACAACATGTTGATCATGAGCACTTCTACTCCCATTAGTTGAGTTTATATTCACAAATTTGTATATTATAAATACATGCTTTAATTAAAAGCTACATAAACCAAACCAATAAAATACAAGTAAAAAAGAAAAACAACTGTTATCTCTACGATTTAATGCCTTGGAAAGACTTTATAAAGGTAAGTCTCCATAAGAAAAACAATTACTGAAGTAGCTATGGACAATGCAACTGAAAAGATTAGTGGGGAAAAAAACCATACAAATCCAGGATTCTGTGCTCAGACTGCTACACAAATAGCTTGAGTTCTTTCTTTTAAACCCAAACTGGAAATCTAGAGGATGCATTCTGGGTTCAGTACATTCATGAAGTAACAATGAATTCCATTCAAGTACACATACTCAAAGAAAATCCCTTGGTCATACATGGGACAATTGACGAATGCATTTCAGTTCTAAGTTGAAATAAAATGTTTCATGTCTGCATGTATTTTTTTTTAACTCTAGCTTTAATCAACTTTTTCAATTAATTGTTCAACTCTCAATCCTGACAGCATTGGAAAATACGACTTCTGTTTAAAGTATATACAAATGATGAAGTCCCTTAACAAGAGGGGATAGAGTGGGATGGTATGTGTGGGGTGGGTGTGAAGATGAATCTTTAAGGTATATAAGAGTTTTTCATTTCTTTTTTTTTTTATTTTTTTTTTTAAAGATTTTATTTATTCATTTGAGAGAGACAGAACAAGCAGGGGGAGAGGCAGAGGCAGAGGGAGAAGCAGACTCCCTGCTGAGCAAGGAGCCTGATGCGGGACTCGATCCCAGGACCCTGGGATCATGACCTGAGCTGAAGGCAGACGCTTAACCATCTGAGCCACCCAGGCGCCCTTCTTTTTTTTTTTTTAAGATTTTATTTATTTATCTGACAGAGAGAGAGAGCGCGCACGCACGCAGAAGCAAGGAGAGGAGCATGCAAAGGCAGAGGGGCAAGCAGGCTCTATTGAGCAGGGAGCCTGACACAGGGCTCGATCCCTTTGGCCTGAGCCAAAGGCAGCTGCTTAACCAACTGAGCCACCCAGGCACCCCGGTATATAAGTTTTTGTAGCGCAGATTGTCAGTGGGTAAAGCACAAGGCTTAGGACAGTGGTCCAAGCCGGGAGAATGGTACGAACAAAGACAAGTTAGGGTGTAGAGAACTCCAAGTCTGATCTCACAAACATGATGCAGGAAGTGTAGGCAGATATAGTCTAGTCACATGCAAGTTAAACTTGTCTGCCCTCTATTGGAGCAGAAAGGCTGAGATACAGTTTCAAAGGCACAAGATTGAAGAGTAATAAACTTTTTGAAGGGAGACTTAACGTGCCATGCAAGAGTTTGAACTGGAAGGTTGTTGTGATTACCATTAGCAATACTCAGCTCCCCTCAGGAACCAGCAGGGAGTTGCGCTGAGCACACATGCAAAGCTGGTTTTGCTGGGTTGATTCAGTGGAAGGATAAAGGTAGAAGAAGAAATGAAACATGCTAGTGAGACTAGCTCAGAGTTCCAGATTAGGTAGGAAAGTAAAGATACCAAGAGAAGGTTGAAGGGGCTCGGAAAACATGGTAATATCAAAGAATATCAGGTACCAAAAAGGGGTAAGAACAACCATAGTGAAAGGAGGGAAAAGGAAGACCAGAAGACATTGAGACTTTAGAATTCAGGAGGTCTCAGCAAGTATATAAAGTAACTTACAGATAAAGGTCACTGGAGCTCAGGAAGTTCAGAAAAATATGAGGCTTATGTTTGCCGTTTTCCACATGGCTGCTGAAGTCACTTAGAATTATCTGGAGAGTTGGTGGGGGTGGAGAGCTCTTTAAAGAAGATGGAAGATCAAATGAGAGATTTGTAAATGACAAGGGACAAATGGTAGAAGATGGAAGAGCCCAGAGATGATAGGCGATACATGGTGTATAATGCTAAATTCATCAAGAATAATCACTAATAGACTAATACAAGTGATCCTGATGAGCCAAAACACAGCCTTGGATTCCTTCTCAAGATGGTGCTAAAAGCAGCCACTACGAGTGAATAGGGATATGTGACACTACCAGTGAATATGTGAGGGAAAAAAAAAAAAAAAACCTAGCTTGCTGTATCCGGTAGAGCTGAATTTCATAGGATATAAAATTCCTCAAAAGATCCCCAAAGGAGCAGGGATATTTACATGAGGCTAGAGAAGCAGTGACCTAAAATTCATTCTGGGGAAGTGGGGGCTACCCGCAATCTTCATACCCTAAAATTTGTAGGGTGGAGGAAGGAGCAGCTTCCACTCAAAGAGTTTCAGTTTTTCTTTGTTCTTTTTTATTTCAAAGCCAAATTTCCTTTAAAACTAGTTAGTAGTGGAAGCACTGACCTGTGAAGATGTTAACACCATGTGAGATGTGGAAACTGATCCACACTATATCCACTCGCCACTCCCACCCTGGAGATTGACAATATACATTGTGATGGGGAAACTATTAACTCAGGGTTTCCTGACTCTTTTGACCATAAAATTCTTTTTCTGGGAACACTTAACTTATTCCACAGAATGTAGTAAAGACAATAATGGGTTAAGGATTTAGATAAGTCTGTTTACTAGGGATGTGTGCTCCTGAGATCACAATGGAAAATCTGAGAGGGTAGGAGAAGAGGTTTGGGAAAAGAAAGCACCAAGTACAGGAATTCTAAGTATATAAGAGACAATAAAATGCAGGGGCTTCTACTGAGGCAGTCATCAAACATTTCAGGTATGTGAAAGAGATCTCGGGTTACACAACGAATCCTGGTTAAGGTGCTTCAGTGCAGACACAAGTTGAGAAAGTGACATCTAAGAAGATAACTAAAAGGAAGAAGAGAAGCTAACTTAGCAAAGCAGAGAGGCAAAGGAATAGAATGTACAAAATCTGAATATAAGGGAAGCTCCGGTAATCAAAGAACCCTTGCTTGACTGAAATACAGAGGTAGAGGAAAGGTACTGGAAGAACCACTGCTGATGAGAAAGGAGAGCCTGCTAGCCTGAGGGCTCAAAAGGGTTTCGACAGTGGGAGTAAATGGATCAGATATGCATTCTGGCTTCCAGTGGAGCCTACAGGTCTTGCCTGACTAGATGAACACCTGTTAAAAGTCTCTTGCAATAACCCAAGAAAGACAAAATGATTCCAAACAGAGCCAAAGACTGGAAGTAGGGTAGAGGGGGGAGGGATTCAAAAGACATTTTGATAGTACACTCATTACAACTGATGGATCCCGTAGGTGAGGGATCTGTGAGAGAGAAGATTCAAGAAAGATTCCCTGCTCTTTGCCATAGGTGGTGGTGCACTGAGCAAGAACAGGTTTGGGGAGTGAGATGGACTTAATTAAATCATATTGATTTGGAGTTTGGAATACCCATGTGAAGAGAATCTAGCAGGCATTCTGAGATGGATCTGGAACTCAGAAAGAAAGAGAAATCTGGGCTGGAAATATTAATTCTAAATCAACATTATATAGATAACAGAACACATTTGATCACTCAGGGGGAGGATACAGAAGTAGATTAGGAAGACCAAAATGGAGCAGTCAGAAAATTAGTTTTTTCATCTATACAATGACCCTGACATATTGAGAGATACTAAATCAAATGAAAATTGAATTTAATTCATAAAAAAATACTAATACATTTTGGCATATTTTATAAATTCCAAACGAAACCTTACTTAACAAGAAAATTGAACTAAAGTAAAAACATTCCATTCCCGAAGCCCCCCGGTTACTTGAGGTTTACT